TCCTGCGCCGCAGTTGGTCGTTGCGAGTGGTGAGAGCGCGACGGTAGGAGGGGTGGTCGGGCGGGGGGGTACGTGGTAGGGGTGCGGGCCGACGTTTTCGCCCCAGAAGTCGGACCCGAAGCGGCGCAGGAAGAGCGTGGCCCACACGGCATCAGCTTCGGCCTCCCTCGCCATCGCGCGGCTCGTTTGCGCCACCTGCCAGGCCAGCCACAAAAGAGCACAAGATAAATATTCTCTCCAATAACTTAATTTGTGTGGGCAGGCAGTGAGGGGTGGTCGGTCGGGGGCAGGGGGTACGTTGGCGAGGTCGCGGGGTTCAAGGTGGAGCAGCACGCACGCGCGCACGTTGTCGTCCAGTCCCGCCCATGTTGTCGTGGCCGCCTTCATCGTTCTCGTCACGTTGAACTATCTTTGAGTGGCCCGCTCAAATGTCGGGGCGATTTGTGGTCGACAACATTTCATTGGTCGTTCATCCAGCAAGCGTGGTGTGATGTTGCAGCTGATGGGCTGCACACTTGGATTGTACATATACAGGTATGTGGTTAGGGGTTGTTGTGACGGTGCACACACCTGGTCCATGGATGCACCTTTAAGGTGTAGTTCATGAGCAGCAGGATGCAGATGTAGTGACAGGGTGAGGCAGGCGCCCATGATGAAGAAGACAGCCACACTGAACCACCTCAATCCTCCAACACCAACACCAACACCAACACCAACACCAACACCAACACCAACACCAACACCAACACGCGTGGAGTTGTTTTCGCTTGGCGGTCCACACCGGGCCGGAGCAAGCACCACATCTGTCGCGGCCCTTCCCCGTCTTTGTGCGCGGGTATGTCCGCCGAAGGAAAGAAGAAATAAGGGTTGTGTCGAAAGTTGGTGGTGGGAGATGCGCACTAACACATCATAGATTGCGCTCCGCCTCGGCGCGGGCGTCGCTGAGAGCGCACAGCCACAGGTTGTCGCCCGGTCGCACGAAGGCATGCGGTCGGTCGGCCATCGGCTGCTTGGCGAGCCACACCAGGCCCTGCATGATCAGCGACTCACGCTTCTCCCGCTCTGTTGGAGTCCCCACCCACAAGTCAATGTGTGTCGGATCGTGTGCGGTATGTCGTGATTATCATCATTTTTACCAGCGACAGGTTCAACGTCGTCGTCGGCAACAGCGTCGGCGGGAGGCATGGTGAAGGAGGTGACCACGAACACCACCGGCCCGGCGTAGAACGGGCAATAGTGCCTGGGCTCGACGAAAAGAGGAATCTGTCGCGCGCCGAAGAACCACGAACTCCACTGAGTCACCACCACCTGCCACCACCACATGCAGCGAAGAGACGTGGGCCGCAGCTTCACCGCAACATGCACACGGACCTTGAGGCGCTCGAGAATGCGCTCGGGACCAAAGTCGGGCGGTGCGTTGATGAGGTGCAGATTGACGTACAGGCCGTCCTCGAACTGGCCCTTGCCCTCGCCCAAGAACCCGTGCAGCTCGCGGAACGCCTGTTGCGTTGTGCGTGTGCGTGTGCGTGTGCGGTGGGGCGTGTGCGGTGTGCGGTGCGGCGTGTGTTGTTGCGTGAGAAAGCGCTTGATGGGCTCTATGGTGGTGGGCAGATGAAGAGGACCTGTTCCTGGTAGTCCGGGTCGGCCATGCGTTCGCAGTCGATGGCGTAGATCGCGTGCAGTTGCGTGTACCTCTTCAAGTTCCACTTGAGCCAGTTACCGATCTGCAGCCCGCGAAAGTGGACCGCCACAGTGTGTTCTGGCGGCTCCTCGTCGTCGTCCGCGTAGTTGGCCGGATTCTCCTCCTCGGTCTCTGCCAGCGACCGATTCCACCAATTCCTGCAACGCCCAATCATTTGGTTGGTTGGTTGGTTGGTTGGTTGGTTGGTTGGTTGGTTGGTTGGTTGGTTGGTTGTGTTAACACGCACACGCACAAGCGGGGCAGAAATTACCTGGGCCGACGCACGGCGCAGAAGTTGGTCCAGCTGGGCTTCTCCCACTTGTGGGCTGGCGGGATGCAAATGCGCAGCACCCGCGCATTGCCTGCACACAATAATACGAATATTTAAATGAATGGAGAGAACTTAAAAACACCCACACGCGAACTTGGTGGGCGCACCGGCGGGGCTCGTGACGTCGACGTTCTCGATCACCGACGGCAGCGGCGGGTCGTCCTTGCTCCACCCCATGTACCGCAGCCTGCCTGGCCGAGACCGTCGTGCAACAGAGCGGCCGACGTTAGTTCGCAGCCTAAACTCGCCACACGGCTGCCGTGCGGGGGCGGAGGAGTGCTCGCGTCACGCACCGGTGCAGATGCCCTGCTTGATGGTGTCGACGATGGCCGACAGGCGCGCGAACGACGTCTCGCCCGCCACCAGCACGCCCACGCGCAGAAGGTCTGCCACGTCTGCACCATCTTCTCCATCCTGCTCGCCGCATTCCATGTCAGCCATGCATGGCTGGCAAGGGCCGCACACATGAAGAGGGAGGCCATCGAACCGTTTGTAGGCGCGCTTCCATCCGCCGCCCTGTCGCCCGCTGCTGTCCGCGCCTCGCTCGCCGCGCACAAAGGCCAGCAGCGCGCGCCGCGTCGCCGTCTCGCTCTCATCGTCGTCGTCGTCGCTGCCGCTCGGGCGCGCCTCTGCGGCGGCGACCGAGTGGACGAAGGTCTCGAACACGGCGACGGCCGGCATGTCCAGCCATGCATTGGCGCGCGGCGCCTCCACCTCCTGCGCCGCAGTTGGTCGGTCGCGAGTGGTGCGCTGCTAGCAGAGAGCGCGACGGTAGGAGGGGGCGGGGGAATGGGTGGTAGAGGGGGGGTACGTGGTAGGGGTGCGGGCCGACGTGTTCGCCCCAAAAGTCGGACCCGAAGCGGCGCAGGAAGAGCGTGGCCCACACGGCATCAGCCTCGGCCTCCCTCGCCATCGCCCGGCTCGTTTGCGCCACCTGCCAGGCCAGCCACAAAATAGCATAAAATAGTGATATATCCATTTATTTATCTTTTTGATAAAAGTTGTTGGCAGAGGGGGGGTACGTTGGCGAGGTCGCGGGGTTCAAGGTGGAGCAGCACGCACGCGCGCACGTTGTCGTCCAGCCCCGCCCATGTTGTCGTGGTCGCTAACGTTGCCTTCATCGATACCTTCTCGAGAACGTGTGTGTCGGGGATAGTGTAGGCGATTTTTTTTTTATCACTCGACAAGATAAAAACAAGTCGTTCGTGTCCGTGCGCATGTTTGTGGGCGTGTGTGTTGCGTGTGTTGCGTTTGTGCGTCTGCGTGTTTTTCGGTGCGTTCGCGTTTGTGCATCCGTGTGTTTGCGTGTCGTGTCGGTGTGCACGTTTGTGTGTGTGCCTGGGGGTGTGGTTGCGTGCATATACGTTTGTTTGTGCGTACTTGTGATTGCACGGGCGTGAGGTCGAATTTGTTGCATAAATGGCATAGGTGATGTCAGGCGTTTGGGAGGGTCAACGAGGGCAAACGGATAGGTGCACGGGCGAGGCTGGGTTCGTTGGATAGGCCAGAGCGCGGGGAGCATCGGATAGCAATGGGAAGGTGGAAAATCGCAGCCGTTCGTCGTCGGCAACAGCGTCGGCGGGAGGCATGGTGAAGGAGGTGACCACGAACACCACCGGCCCGGCGTAGAACGGGCACCAGTGCCTGGGCTCGACGAAAAGAGGAATCTGTCGCGCGCCGAAGAACCACGAACTCCACTGGGTCACCACCACCTGCCACCACTGCAGCTTCACCGCAACATGCATACGGACCACACCTTGAGGCGCTCGAGAATGCGCGCGGGACCAAAGTCGGGCGGCGCATTGATGAGGTGCAGATTGACGAACAGGCCGTCCTCGAACTGGCCCTTGCCCTCGCCCAAGAACCCGTGCAGCTCGCGAAACACCTGTGTTTGTGTGTGTGCCGTTGGTTGTGTGTGTGTGTGTGTGTGTGTGTGTGTGTGTGTGTGTGTGTGTGTGTGTGTGTGTGTGTGTGTGTGTGTGTGTGGTGTGTGTGTGTGTGTGTGGTGTGTGTGGTGTGTGTGTGTGTGTGGTGTGTGGTGTGTGTGTGGTGCATGCGTGCGGTGCGTGCGGTGCGTGCGTGAGGGCGGATGAAGAGGACCTGTTCCTGGTAGTCCGGGTCGGCCATGCGCTCGCAGTCGATGGCGTAGATGACGTGCAGTCGCGTGTACCTCTTCCCGTTCCACTTGCGCCAGTTGCCGATCTGCAGCCCACGAAAGTGGACCGCCACAGTGAGTGCCTGCGGCTCCTCATCCTCCTCTTCTCCGTCCTCGCTGGTGGTCTGCTTTCCTTCTGTCTCTCTGTTCCACCAGTTCCTGCCATTCCACAGATATCAGGCCAGCAGCACGACACGACACACGCACACGCACACACGGCGCACACGACACAAGACACACAAAATTACCGAGGCCTACGCACGGCGCAGAAGTTCGTCCTGCACGGGCTCTCCCGCCTGTTGGCTGCCGGGATGAGGATGCGCAGCACTCGCGCATTGCCTGTCCCGCCAAACGCTCAAATAAATTAGTAATACATAAATAAATAAATAATAATAAAACAAAGAGGCGTGGGGGTGACCGGAGGGGCTCGTGATGTCGACGTTTTGGATCACCGGCGGCAGCGGCGGGTCGCTCGCACTGGGTCCCAAATACCGCATCTTGTCTGCAAGGTCGTCGTTAATGATGGTCGACGCCGGTGGATTGCTTCGTTTCACGTACTGGCGAAGATGCCCTGCTTGATGACATCGACGATGGCCGACAGGCGCGCGAACGACGTCTCGCCCGCCACCAGGATACCCGACAGGCAAAAGCGCTGCCACGCCCGCACCATCCTCTCCATCCTGCCGCGGCATTCAATGTTGAATTGAGTGCGTGCGTGCGTGCGTGCGTGCGTGCTCAAGGGCCGAACCGTTTGTAGGCGCGCTTCCATCCGCCGCCCTGTCGCCCGCTGCTGTCCGCGCCTCGCTCGCCGCGCACAAAGGCCAGCAGCGCACGCCGCGTCGCCACCTCGCTCTCCTCCTCCTCCTGGTCGTCGCCGCCGTCACTACTGGGGCTGGCCTTGACAGACAGGACGAAGGTCTCGAACACGGCGACGGCCGGCATGTCCAGCCATTCATTGCCGCGCGGCGCCTCCACCTCCTGCACCGCCAATACGAGTGTGAGTAGAGATCGGGCGCGGGGGGTTGAGGCTGAGTGGTCGCGGGGGGGGGTACGTGGTAGGGGTGCGGGCCGACGTGTTCGCCCCAGAAGTCGGACCCGAAGCGGCGCAGGAAGAGCGTGGCCCACACGGCTTCAGCCTCGGCCTCCCTCGCCATCGCCCGGCTCGTTTGCGCCACCTGCAGGCCAGCCACAAAATAGCATAAAATAGTGAAACGCAATTTATCATATAAAAAATAGAATAATATACGCAATAATAATATAATTATAATATACGTAATTTATAATAGAAAATATATTTTCTATTATAATATACTCAATATAAATATTTTTTAAGGGGGTACATGAGCTAGGTCGCGGGGTTCAAGGTGGAGCAGCACGCACGCGCGCACGTTGTCGTCCAGCCCCGTCAACGTGCACGTTGTGGCTGCCTCCTCCATCAATACACTCGTCCAGTTACTCGTTGTGTCAAAATCGTTTTGTTTTTGTTTTTGTTTGCGTTTCGTTTCGCACTTGTGGCCCAGCTCATGAGAGCTTGGCCAGGCGCTCTTCGTCGAAGCCGTGGGCGGCGTTGAGTTCGGCGAAGAGCTCCACCAGGAGGAGCATGCTCGCCCACCCCTCCTCGGCCGGTCGCACCACGCTCCACCCGAACTCGGCCTCCTTCCCCATCTCCGCCACCGCGTTGGCCTCGAGCTCTTTTGTCGTCCGCGTCTTCTTCAGGTCCGCCGCTGCCGCCACACTCTCCGCCGCTTTGCCGTTGTTGTTGTCGTCACCGCCGGCCTCTGGCCTGGCGAGCTCGTCCTCCTCCTCCTTGAGCTTGCCCTTGCCCTTCGTGTTGTTGATGTTGTTGTTGCTATTCTTCTTGCTCTTCTTTTTCTTGTTCTTTCTCTCGAGCTCCTTCTTCTCTTCGTCGTCGTGGTCGTCGTCGTTGTCCTCGACCTCGTCACGCTTGGAGGAGGCCAGCACCACGCCCGCGTCGTCGACCCGCAGCCACTTCTTGACCTTGGTGTTCTTCAACTGAACCTTGACCCGCCTGGCGCCTGCTTGCCGCCGTGTGTCAGCCGCACACACCACCGCACGCGCGCACGCGCAAGACACGGATGAACAACGTACCGGGGTCCTTGGTTTGATCGTCGACGATGGCCGTGTACTTCCAGGCCTGGCCCAGCGAGTCCTCGGAGAGGGCGATGACGCCCGATCCGACATCCTTGACCACCACGAACCGCCCGTCGTAGGCGTGGATGAAGATCTTGTTGTCGTCGTCGCCCCCGCCGCCCTCGGCCTCCCGGTCGGCCGACGCCTTGTCGCGGTTGGTGCCGCCGTTGCCGCTGCCGGGGTGATGATGGCTGTTGTTACCACCGCGTCGCTTCTTCGGGCGGATGAAGAAGGTGTTGTAGACGTGGTTGGGCAGATGCGACGTCGAGGCGAGCGCCGACGCCGCCGCCTGGCTCATGGTCATCATCACCGCCGACCCCAGCGGCGCCGACGCGGAGAAGGCTTCGACGCCGCCGGCGCCATCGGCGGCCGACTGTGGCGGCTGCGCTGGCGCCGCTGATGACGACAGGAGGCCCGGCCCGGGTGGAGACGGCACGTTGGCGATGGCGGAAAGGTAGCGCTCGGCGCTGTGCGATTTTAGGAAGACGCGGTGGCGGTCGACGAGCTTGAGCCGCCACCGCTCGTTGCTCTTGCAGCCGGCCTGGAGCGAGACGACGCCGTCGCGCTTGGACGACGACAGATACTTGCCGCCGCCAGCGACGCCGGAGCCCGGCCCACTGGCGGGCATTGAACCGACGGCCTTGCCGCGCTTCCGCTCCATCGATGTGCGCCTCTCTTCCTCCATCTGTGTGCCCCGCGACTGTAGCCAAGCCACACAGAGCAGTGTAAACAGCACGACACGCACGCATACGCGCCACCGCACACGCACACAGAGAGGAGCGTACGCGGTAGGCCTTGTCGGAGTAGGTCTGGAAGCCGAAGAGCAGTCGGTTGTCGCGGGCGAGTTCGTCGTAGCGCCAGAACTTGGTCGTCGACGCGCCGTAGCGGCCGTGTAGCTCCTTGCGGTGCTTGAGCGCGGGCTTGCCCTGAGCGTCCATGCACACGTAGTGCCCGTTGAGTCCGAATCGAATACAGATCAGCTCCTCGGCGCTCTCGTTGGCACCGACGCCGCCAGCTTGGCCCGCTTGGCTCTCGCCATCGTCGCCGTCGTCAGCGTCGGCACGCACGCGGACGAGCAGGAAGACGGCGTTGCAGCACATGCGATCGGTTGTCGATAGCATCAGCTCGGCATCTTCGCGGCCCGAGCCGTTCTCGAGTGGGTCGCCGCCGTCGCGTCGCACCACGCACAGGTACCGCCCGTGGGGCGACACGAAGAACACCTCGCGTCCCACGAAGCGCTCCATGAATCCGCCGGCCGCCGCTGGCGCCATTCTGTCGACAAACGCGCTCGCCGACGACGTCGACAGTGACGCTGTCGACAGCCGTGAGAACGTCGACAGCGAAGCCGTCGACGAGGCCAGGTCGGCGATATCGAACAGGAGGCTGGGCTTGCGGGACGGGAGTAGCTGGCCCGAGGCGAGGTGGTCGGCGATGTGGGGGAAGGCGACCATGGTGTTGTGCCGCCGGTTGGCCCGGTCCTCGCCCAGCAGCGCGCTCTGCGAGACGAGCTCGTCGCGGTCCAGGTTCTTGACGAGCGCAAAGACGGCCTGTCGCGCCATGCCCTCGAGATCGCGCCACGCAAAGTCGATCTTCTGGTGTTGCTGCTGCTTCTGCGCCTTGTCTGCTTCGTCGCCTTCGTTCTTTTTCTTCTTTGTCCTGCCCCTCTTGATCCGGCTGCCGCTCTTTTCCTTCTTTTCCTTCTTTTTCTTCTTTTCCTTCTTCTCCAGTTGCTCCGTCTTCTTCTTCCGCGCCTTTCGCGTCTTTTCGTCTCCCTCCTCCTCGTCGTCGAGGGTCTTCTTGTAGGATGGCGACGAACGGCCCGCCTCCAAGTCCTTCTCATGAAGGTACCACAGAGCCTCCGTCTTCATAATCGTAGCAAGCACAACACCTAGTGTGTCGTGTCGTGTCGTGTCGTGTCGTGTCGTGTCGTGTCGTTGATGTCGTGCCGTGTGTGTTGTGTGTCGTGTGTCAGAAACGCAACTCAAGATACACAGTCAAGGCGGTGCGGGATACCTGGTGGCAGCTTTTTGGCGGCCTTGAGCTGGAGGAGCACGTCCTGGCCGTCCCTCCTCCAGGCGGGCGCCAAGTTGGGCCATGCCAAGAGGATGTCGCGATACTCCTGCGCCGCCGTCTGCCACAGAACCCGCTCCGTCTCTTCCTTGAACTCATCTCGCAAACTGAGAATTGTTAGAACAAAACGAACAAAACTAACAAACAAAATCAACTATTATTTTGATATAGTTCATAAGTCGTGAATGGGTACCTGTCGGCGGGGGCGGTCGCCCAGTCGCACACGAGCTGAGCCATCCCGAGCTTGGACTGTAGCAAGAGCCTACGCTCGCCCCTTTCGTTACGCTTCTGCAGCGTTGTAATGCCTAGTGTGTGCGTGTGCGTGTGCGTGTGCGTGTGCGTGTGCGTGTGCGTGTGCGTGTGGTCAGAGTCGAGCAGAAGCTTCTATCAGAGCATGTGCGTGTACCTTGCAGGTAGTAGCCGTAGGCCGCCTTGAAGGCGTCCCGTCGGAGGGCTTCCTCCTTCTCGTCCCACAGTCGCGCGAGCCAGTACTCCACTACGCTCACAGGAAACAAAGAGCGAAAAGCGAATGGATGGTGAACAAAGAGCGAATGAAAGAACGAAAGCGACGAAAGTGCACGCACCTTTGCCCAAGTGAAGGAGTGTCTGGATGGAATCGGGGATGCTGTGCAGCGCAAGTTCGAGCTTTCGCCGCGAGCAGATGAGCAATCTGAGTGACCGCCCGACGAGACAAATATACGGTGAGTGCATGCCTTGCCTTCAACAGGATATGCAAACGTGGGCTGACGTACCGAATGATCTTCTTGGTCGTGGTGCCGTCCAGCTCGGCGTCGCCGCCGAGTAGGTCAAGGCTGAGCGGTGCTACTGAGCTCGGTACGAGAAAGTCGTTGAGTTGCTCCTCGAGCAGCATCCGATCGTCTAGCACCGCGCGCTGCTTCTCGTTGGCCTTCTTCGTCGCCGTCGTCGTGGCGTGCGCGCTGTCCCTCTCCCGCCCCGCCGCGCCCATCGTCGTCTTCTCCTTGAGGTTGCTGTCCCGCTCCCGATCCTTCTCTTTCTCCTTCTCCTTGCCTTTGGCGTCCTTCCGCGTCATGATCGACAGCTTACCGTCGAACGTGGCCTTCATTATGCCGCCGGCAGCTGCACTGCTGGAGCCGGAGGGGCTGGCGTTGTCCTTCTTGCCCTGGTCCTGGTCCCCCGTCGCGGCCGCGGCTCTTCGCTCCTCGGCGGCGCTTTTGGCCGCCCGCTCGATCTCGAGGCACTTCTGGTAAAGCGCAAAGCCCTCGCTGGAGGAGATGAGGTGCATGTGTTTCACCTTCACCGACAGATCAATTATATCCTGGCCAAAATGAGTACATTAGCTCAATAGCCAAATCGATTACAATAAATGAGATATAAATAAATGAATAAATACTTGCAATGTGGTACCTGCTCCAGGAATTCGTAGCCTCGTCCTTGGTCGCCATTGAGCAGATCGAATATCTGAGGTTGGTCACTGAGCACGATGCCCATCATCTCACAGATCCTGGAACATTGTCAGTAACGGTGTGTGTGTGTCGTGTGGTTGACAATAAGCTGCAGGGTACCGGAGGAACATGAGGCCGGGGAACAGGCGTGGCTGGCGGCGGTCGTCGCTGACGTCCCACTCGCCGGGGCCGAGGGCGATATCACTGAACTTGGTGCGGATGCAGCACTTCATGGGCAGCAAGTAGGGAATGATGTCCTCCACGCTCTCCCCCTTGTCGTACTCGTCGACAGGGTTCGTTTCTCGGTCCACGTAGTGGTTGTAGTAGTTGGTGTTGTCGAGGTGGTCTTCCTCTCGACCGCCACCTCCTTCCTCCGCTTGTTTCCGCCTTTGCCTTCGCAATCGGTGGTTTTGCTTACACACCTGTGTGGAATGTCAATCAGCCGCACGCATGTGTGCGTGTGCGGTGTTGCGCGTGTGCACGTGCGGTCTTGAAGCTGTGCTGTGTACCTTGTAGATGAAGTACTCGAGACCGCGCTCGCCGGGGTGGGTTGGCTGGATGAGATTCTTGCGCACGTTGGGCGTTTCGGTCGAAGTCCAGAAATGGTGGGACTGGGGCGAGTAGCGGGAGAAGAGATTGAAGAGGTCCACGACGAGCTGCTTGTAGGGCTCCGACGACGGCACCTTGAGCTCACGCATCTTCTCCCGCAGCAGCGCGCGAATCATGTTCTTGCACACGCGTGCCGCCATCTAGAGACCACAACCATCGCATTGCCACGTCAGCAACGATTATCATGAATTAGAATTAAAAATCTGATAAATCTGATAAATCTGTACCTCGGTGTAGAGGAGGCCCTTGAAGAGACAGGGGAAGCGCTTGGAGAAGGCCTCGTAGTCGGGGTTGTGTACAAGGTCAAGGTGGCCTCTCAACACGCCCAGGTAGCGCATGTTGACCCCACTCGAGTGCATACGATGGAGGATGTCGATCAGGAGATCATGCAGGCCCCTAGCGATAACACACGCGAGATTCAGACCAAACCTGAGATACTATATATGGGAATGGTTGGGGGTTTGGCAGAGGGCCGAATGGTGTTGCGTACGAAACGCTGAGGCCGCCTTGGACCAGGTCGTCATCGCCCATTTCCATTCCAAACCTGTAGGTGCGAGGCGCTGCGAAGCGGACGGAGCTCAAGTTCTCTCGCGAGGCCTGTCAAGCGCACGCAACGCCGCACACGCACAATGCGCATGGTGTGTTAACGCCAGTGTTAACGTCCGTATGGGGTGGGCGTAGAGAGGCGGTGAACCATAGACGACGCATAGAATCGCTGGCCTTCCTGCAGCGCGAGTTGCTGGACTTCGGCGGCAAGGCTGGGTATGATGCTGCGCATGAGCGTCTGACGTACGAGATACATCACCCGTTAGTCAAGCTGGGAGGGGGGGGCGAAAATATGTGAGTGAGCGTTGACTCTTTACCTCAGTGGCTTGGCGCACTTCCTCGTTGTGCTGGATGAAGTTGGGGTCGTGGCGCATCATCCCCGTGTAGGCATCACTGCACAGTGGCAGCTGGTAGCCCTGCACCAGCTCTACACACACACACACACACACACACACGGGTGCGCGCGCGCCCGGAGAAAGGTCAGTAAGCGCCTTTTCTTTCTTTTATAATAAGAGGTGGCGGCAAGGCACACGCACCAGGCCGCAGGAGTTTGTAAAACATGGCTCGGGCGTCCAACAGCGAAGGCCAGTAGCGTTCCTTGACCAACACGCATTCGGGCGGATAGAGCCTGTCGCGCACACGACCGGTGAGACATGCGTACAGTCAGCGCACGCTGGCGATTGCATTGCCGTACCTTGCAAAGTCCAACAGATAGAGCTTGCCATCCTGCAACAATAAAAGAAAGTGAGAAGAAATGAAAAAGAAAGCAAAGAACTAGACGTGGCGCGCATACCGAGCCCCAATGCCCTGTTGTGGATAAATAAAAAAGGAATATGGTAAGTTAGAGATGTGGGACTGCTGAGGCGAAGGCAGGCTGGTGTACCTTCGATGTCACCACAGGCGTAGAGCAGTTTGGAGGAGACGATGTGCCCTTTGAGGTTGAGGCGTGTGAATATGTTCTTGAACTTCTCGTTGAATGCGGGATAGGTGGCATGGACGGTCTTGCCGGCGTCATGTGATCTGCGCAACAATGGCCGTAAGCAGGCTGGTTACCAATCACAATAAAGGGTGTATACCCGTAGACGATAGTCTTCTTCGACACGGGCAGCACTGACACCGCGGTCAACCGATAGCCTCTGCCAGAAGGTGTGAACAACGCAAGTAAGCATATATGCCACACACGACACGACACGACACGACCAACGACACGACACGGTGCGAATACCTGTAATCCACCAACGTGATGAGAGGAACGGCTACGCCTTCCGCCGCGGCATCGCCGGAATCGACCACCCTCGTCACGCTGCGCAGCTCGTGACCAGCTGCGCCCCAATATCACGACAAAGACAACACACATTAGCAGAGCATTGGTGCGGCTGCAGTGAACCGGCGTACCGGCTTTCAAGGCGCACGAGTCATCGGCGGTATCGTCGCCGTACATCCAAAGGCCCTTCTTCAATTCGGCGTCAAGGGCGAACTTGAAGAGGATGCCCTTGCACATGTACTTGCTGCCACCGGCGACTCCTCCTGTTGCGTCTCTTGTGAGCACACACACACACACACACACACACAACACACACAATACACAACACACACAATACAGGCAAGCACGAGATGCAAACCTATGTGGGTGATTCGAATGGTCTTCTCCTCCAGCGGGACGAACTGTTCACTGATGATAATGCGACCGTAGACCTCGGCAACGTGCTGAAAGTGTGCACGAGACGAAACACAAAAAAGAATGAGGCACGTAAGCATCGAAGGTGGTGGCTGATGATTGTGCGGTGTCACGTATCATAGGCCAGCTGCGCGAGCTTTCGGAACTTGAGCGCAGTATCGGGCATGCTCATGAGCTCTTGAAACCGTCTCTGTGGCGTACAAAACGAGACTTTGTGGTTAGTCCTGAGCGCGAGCGTGTGTGGTGTGCTGCGCATGAATGTACGTACATTCCAGATGCTGTCGGGCAGCTGGCCCACTGCATTCCTTCGCGCCAGGCTCGGCGACACTGGTAGCTGCTGTCTCCTGCCCACCGCCGGACTTGAATCCGATTCTATGGCCGTCGCAGAGGCCACCGCCGCAGCCACCGCCACGGCGGCGGGCGAGTTGTCCAGAGCAGCATGCTGACCACTCGCGGCCGTCGAGGTGACCGTGGCCGGGCTCACAGTACTCGACACGTCGTCCCTCTGGTTCATCTTTTCCTGCCAGTCGGCGCCGATGTTCTCCTGTAGGAAGGCCTCGACATCAACCACGGCCCCGGCCTCGCCTGTGCTAGCCTTCCGCTCGATGTTCTTCTTGTTGCTCCGGCCGGCGCCGATCCGCTTCTTGGCCTCCATGACCCGCCGCTCGAACGCGCGCTTGACCCGGCCCTCGCCGCCCGCCGTCGCCGCGACGCCGCTTGCGCTGACGCTCCGGTCGTGCGACGACAGGCTGCCCACGTCCTCCATCGAGCCGCCGAGCCCGGTCAGCATGCGACGCGCTCCCGGAACCTTGCCCGAGGCGGTCATCGTGCGCTGGTCCATGTGGCCACCGCCGCCACCGTCAGCGGCGGGCGCGGAGTGATCTGGTTGTTGGGCCTTGCCGCCGCGACGGCCGCCCGGCTCGATCTCGCTCATGCTCCGCCTCTTGCGGCGGAAGGCCAGCATGCGGCTGGTCGGTGCCTTGCGCCCGGCTTCGTCATCGCTGCCGGCAGCGTCCGCTGGCTGCGTTACGCGCAGTGATATCTTCGTCCGACCCAAAGCCGCAGCGTCATCGGCCACCGGCTCGTAGTCGCTGCCGCCGACGTCATCGCCGCCGCCGCCGCGATCGTCGTCGTCGCTTAGGAAGTCTTTGGACTTGGGCTGCGACCTGCGGAGCTCGACGCGGCCAGCGGCTCGCCGCATCCACCTGTGACGCCCCTCCTCGCCGCTGGCGCCGATGCCGCTCTCGTGTTCCCTCTCCGATTTCCTCCTCGGGACGCCGACAGTGACGAGCTTCCTGTCCATCCGCTTCAGCTTCTTCTCGGTCTTCTTCTCGCGCTTCTCCTCCTTGGCCTTGCGCTTGCGCTCGTCGCGTTCCCGCCGCCGGCTCCCCTTTACACTGCCGTCGCCGGCAAAGTACTTCTCCGCGCTGCTTCCTCCGCCGCCGTCGCGCCGCCGGAACCGGTACTCGCCGCTGTGCCGCATGAAATTTCGAAGCAGGCCGCCGCCGCTGCTCTCCT